TATGTAACAACTGCAACAGGGGCTTCTTAGTTATTGCTGATCCAGGACTGGTGTCACAAGTTAGCCTCTTGTTTGTTTATTCTTACCTCCTTGCTGCTCCTGATTCCTTTCACATGTGTGGTTTGTCTGTGCTCACCTGTGGGCGTCATCTGCTATCCTCTGGGTTTTATTTCCTTCCCTTACATCACTTTCTGGCCCGTCTCCTAGTTTGCTTGTCTGTATAAGACATGCTCAGTCTAGCCCACTTTGCCAGAGCAACTTCCTAGTTGTCTGAGCTCCTGTGTGTTGCTATCGCCTGTATCCTGCATTGACTACTCGTGTACCAACCCTGGCTTCGTTCTCTGACTGTGCTTGTTTTCCGCCTGTCCTGACCTCGGCTAGTCTATCGGATTTCTGTTTGTATCCTCCCATTGTATTCGGCTGCCACGAGCGGTCTCCTCATCCTCAGCTGGGCGTACAAGGGGGCCACTACCGGGTCCCAGATTGATTCAAGTCCATCCTTACCATCAGGGGCTCTGGTGAAGAAGCAGGCTGGGGTTTAGACTCCACGCCCTGGGGAACCCCCAGTTCCTGAACACAGCCTCCAGCCTCCAGATGTTTTATTTTTTGCTTCCTCAAGAGAGGGGGCACATACTTACTGCTACCCCCCACCCCCACCCCACCCCTCCTTCCTGGCCAGCCAGGCTGTATGTTCAGATAAGGATCTGGTATGGATTTTAGGGGGACCCTACACTATTTTTATTTTGGGGTTTTTTTGTACTGCTTCTCCATAACCATGCATACCAAACCCTTATACTGGATAAGGGACTAATATAGATGATAAAGGGAATCCCCAGTCACTTGTTTACAAACACAACAAAGTGACTACAGTGTCTTTTAACAACAATATCAATTTTTTCTTTGTAACTATCACCTTTGCTTTAGTACATCATACAGGTGTGCTGCTTTGTAGACAGTTTAAAGCTGGCCATACACGTATTGATTTTCATTTCAAGAATATTTGTTGATTTTCTAATTGTTAGTGGGGTCAAATTGATGTTCGTTTTTAACAGCAGTGACGGAAAAATTTGAAGGGGCAGGAAGGAAAACTTTTCTCGATCAAACTCATTTTCGGTCAGTGTATGTGGTTATTGTTCAGAAATTACATTAATCTTAAATCTAATGTTAAAAGCAAAAGAAAATTTTCGAATAACATTCATCGAATGTGCAAAGAATTTTCATATGAGTTTTCTTATGAATATTCTTGTCCGAAAATCTACACGTGCATAGCCAGCTTAAGGCTCCATGAACATTGGGCTTAAAAAAACCCTTGGCAGAAAAAAAACACTCATATAGTACTTTTTTTCAGTTTAGGAGTGTTTAGCATTTTTTTCTGCTAGAAAACTAATCAAAAACACAAAACAGAAGGGGTTTTTTTTCCTGCCTCTAAACGCTGAGTTTAAAATATGCCTCTAAACATCCAAATGTGCATGGACACATAGGATAACATTGAGCTGCTTGTACAGGCAAAACAGAAAACCAATGTAGAAGCAACATTTTTTAAGTTAGTGCACATGGAACCTAAGGGCATCCCATGCGCATGTTATTTAAGGATTTGAACATTTTAATACTACCCTTTAGTTTTTTTTAAAGTGCTATTATTCACTGAATGGAGGGGAAGAATGTATCAGAATCTGGAAGCCCCCTTTAACATAAGTACCCTTGTTACTACCGTAGTTTACAAAAAGAAAAATATTAAATAAATGCACACATCTTAAATAAAGTTTTTTATGAAAATAATCATAATATACCACAATGTCCAAAAATATTTTCCCATGATGATATATCCCTAGCCCCATTCACTGCTGGTCAGGAATTTCCCTTCATCTCTTCCCTCTTCATTCCCTCCTCCACCACCTTCTCCCTCTACCTTGTCCCCATTTGCCCTCTTCCTCCTCTTTCACCTTTCCTCCCTTATTATTTGATTATGGTACAAGAAAATGCTTTGGTGAGATGAGATTATATAAGAATAATAGTGTCTACTGAATGATACATGGTGAAGAACTAGTAAAAACACCACCTTTCTCCAGTTCATGACCTGGGAGGTCCTACATCAACATTTATTTACCTGCCATCTAAATGTTTTTTTCTGTATTTCTATTAAAAATAATGTACATATTTACTTTTTATATAATTATTTTCATTTCTTTCTTCATAAGGCTGCCCCTGCTCTGGTCAAAGAAACATGGGGACGGATGGCATTGTACACTGGATAAACCTATTGGCAGATGGGAAGGTAGGCATATTTGGATTTTGTGGGGCCACCAAATTTGGATGGACACTCATTTTAACCTCCTTTGGTCCTTGTTAGATTTTTCAATAAGTCTTTATCCAGGGACAAGAGGAGAAAGGCAGGCAGCAGCAAACATTAAGCATACAATCCTATAACCATAGGCTATCCACCTTTCCCCTGAGTGAAACCTTCAAGGATAAGTTCACCTTTTGAAAAAAAAAATAAAATAAATGCACATTTTTTGCAGGTACAAAATGTGTATTTATTTATTTTTTATAAGGAGCCTACAGAGCACGGCAGGGATCACAGATGCAATGTCAAGCTCCTGCAGTCTCTCAGGATAGCTGTCTGCCCATACCTTGTACAAGCAAGCAGGTACTTGAGAGGTGGAAGATCAACAAACTACATCCAGCACCCTTGTAGTTGGTTGAAAACTGCAAGCCATCAGCAGCAATGGATGACAGTATTTGTAGTGTTTTTCATTCACAGGAAACTAGCCATAGCTTGAGCCTGGCATGGCCGCTCTGTTTTCAGATTGTGACAGCTGCCCACTGTCACAGAGAGGGGATGATTGGGGGGAGAGGGGGGGCGCATGCCGAATATGTTAAATGTTCCATCCTAAATATGGGTCAAATCTCAAAGCAACACTCCCCAACACCCAACCTTACCTTGCTGGAGCGGAAGAAAAAAATTCCCCACATGTCCAGAGCCTGTATGCCAGCTGGACACTTAAATTCCAGTTGATGAAAACAGTCCTCTTTCTGTAGTTCATGATCTGGTCAGTCCCACATTAAAATTTTTCAAACTGGCATTACTTTTTTTACTTTTTGTTTGTTAAATGTAATTTTTTAACTTTTTGTATCTAAAATACCTACAAGCGTATATTCTAATGAACTACTTGGAGTCAAGGATGTACCATTGGACGGAGGTGGCCTAAAATGCACTTGTGGTACTAGCCTGTCCTGCTGCATCTATCATGTCAGAGAGGGTTTTCAGTTCAATTTTTAGATTGAAAGCTGACTTTTAGAAAAACAGCTTAGAACTGAATCACAGAAGTACCATACGCCTACTGCAGATTTTACTGGAAAAAAGCAATACATTTATCTTTTATATGATAAGAAAAGAACAAACACTTTCTCTGTTATTCTTGCCAACATTTCTGCCTCTTGAAACCTTTTAACTCCTTCTTCCCCATCCCCTCCTTCCCATTATCAAAAAATCAATTGACCTCAAATTCAAAAATAGCTGAAGCACTTTTTTTTTGGAAGGGAACCCTCTGTGCCTCCTGTCTCAACATTTCGTCATGTTCTCACTGCCTTGTGTCTCTACATTTAGACCTGTGTTTGTAAAAATGTGGTGCCAGGAGCCAATTTTCCCAAGACTAAAAGTGCAAAGTCTAAGGAGCCCCTGGTTTTTACCAGTGTACAGCACAAAGACTGATGAGACTTGCATCTTTTCTTCCTGCTTTACAAAACTGCTGACAAAAAATTGTCTTGTGTTCACACTTTTAGCATATTTGAGAAGCGTTGGCCTGTCTGTGCTTAATTGTTATATATAACACAGTAATTTTTGATATACAACACTTTATTTGATATACTATGCTGTAATTGTTATTGTAGAAAACACAATTTTCATGTATGTGTCCACAAAGTTTTGATTATTCTACCTGGATACCATAAACTATCACCTTGCTAATAGTCATTTTTTTTTAAATGTACGCTTTTATTTTAGTGTAATGAAACACCTTCCTGGTGTCAAAACATTTTCTGCTCACAAATTTGCACTGCTGTGTGTCTCTGTGTGGCTCTGATGAAATATTTGAATTTCTAGTTCAGCAAAATGCTTGACTTTTTCCTGTTCTGCCTGGTTACATTTGCATACTGTTCCCTTGCTAGCCAATTTCTAGCAAACTATGCCTAAGGGCTACAGCTCTAATATTTAAAATTGTGTATATTTGATATGGCAGGTTGTTGGGATGGGGGTGTGAGGTGTTTTGCTGCACAGTGTTTTTACATTTTTATTTCCAGTGTTTTAATAAAAATGTTGTTAATTTAGATAAATGGTACAGAAGTACAGCTGTTCATCAGCTGGTCACAATGTTAAACAATTGCTCTGTAACAGAGAGATACAGAGGCAATAAAAATCTTTGAGTTCTATTTAGAGAGCTGTTGCTGATGTCTATCAAAACATAAGCTAACATATGTAGCGCTACCCCCATGGGGGCCGCTGGAAGATGACAATCCCCAAAGGTTGCCCTGACCTTGCAAGCCTTCCAACACCTCTGATACCCTGGGTTCAGATATGGTTCACATAGAATCACACTTGCAACGACACCAAGTTGTAGTAAGGCAAATTAATATTTACTAGAAGTTTTCAAGTCAACAAAGGCAAAAAAATGCTGATGAGATAAATTTAAATATGAGCCCTTTAGTTCCTAAGGACTCAGATCACAGATGTACAACAGAAGTGAATCAAACAACAACTACAATTAGGCCTTTAACTGCCTCCTATAAGGAAATGATGGACAGTTCTCTTGTTCTGGGAGGATGTCATATGACATCTTCCTACTCTAACCACGTGTGCGTGCCCCCCCGGGGGAGCGCAGCACGGCGATCGGTGGTGCTCTGTGTCCCTTGGACACAGCGGATCAGTGGAAAGATCCGGTGACGTCTGCTCTGTCATGTGATCAGCTGTGTTCAATCACAGCTGATCGCATGTAAATAAGGAGATGTCGGTTATCGGCATTCCGCTCCTCACGAGTTGTCACGCTGACAGGTCTTGAGGAGAGGAGAGACGGTGATCAGCATTCCTCAAAGGGGACAGCTACACTGCCCTGATCATCAGTATAGCCCCATCAGTGCCACCTGTCAGTGTCCATAAATGCCACATGTCAATGCCCATCAGTGCACATCAATGTCACATATCAGTGCCTACCAGTGCACATCAATGCCACATATCAGTGCCGATCTGAATTGCCTTTCAGTGACAACTATCAGTGGCAGTCAGTGCCACCTATCAGTGTCAGTCAGTGCTGCCAATCAGTGTCACATATCAGTGTCGCCTATCAGTGCCAGTCAGTGCTGCCTATCAATGCCCGTCAGTGCCGCCTAACAGTTCCAGTCAGTGCAGCCTATCAGTGCCCATCAGTGCCGCCTAACAGTGCCAGTCAGTGCTGCCTGTCAGTGCCAGTCAGTGCTGCCTATCACTGCCACCTATCAGTGCCATACATGAGTGCTGCCTTTCAGTGCTCACCAGTGATGCCTGTCAATGCCCATCAGTGCCACCTACTAGTGCATCCTCATCAGTGCCCATCAGTGCAGCCTATCAGTGCCCATCACTGCAGCCTCATTAGTGTACATCAGTGAAGGAGAAAAATTACTTATTTACAAAATCTCAATGAATTGAGATGTCCTGGTACAGGCTCTTGAAGGATCCGGGCCAAGTGAGAAGTGCCTGATCTGTGCACCTGCTGATGCTGGAACTTGAACTCGGCCTATTACAGTGACAATGTGAGTGACCTTGGACAATCATTTGATCAGCAAGGGGATGGAAATAGATAATCTGCCTGCAGTAAGTAGTTCACCTGCTGGCAATTCCCCATGCTGTGAAAGCTGCAAGAGGCTGGGCCCCCTGCCTTCGGCCTCTGGTGGTGGTCCCAAGAGAGTGAGCTTCCCTCGGGCCTGGCCATAAATATCCTCTCCCAGCATTCCACACTTCTTTCCAGTTGGCTAGGTCTTGTAGTTTCCAATAGCCCTGGTTCCATGGAGAGAGCCTACTTCCCAGACTATATGTCCCACAACCCCCTGCTTCCAGTAGCGGTTATTCTCTCACTGCATCCAGGGGCAAGGTTACAGTTACTAAGTTGGACACTAGAGGGAAACAAGCCCAAGACAGCTCTTGTCAACAATGTCCCTCAGTCATGCAAATGTACTCCAGAGAGTTGTCCAAATATACTGCAGAACCCTAAGCAGTCATTTGTTAACTGAGAGGATTCCCTAAATATTAAGGGAGCAAAAAAAACAAAAAGAGAGGAGAAAAGAAAGATAGTAGTAGAAAGCACCCCAAGCAATCCTGGCTGATGTCTTTTCTAGGTTAGCAAGTAGCACCTGTCAGGTATTTGATCCAAGGGTCCAACATTTTTCCAAAGGCATCTTATCTTGTAATAGCACCAAAAGGTGTTCATTGATCATGATCCAAGACATCTTAGCCTTTGGTAATTCAAAGTGGATCATAGGAGATTTCCACGATCTAGCTATAGTGATTCTTGCAGCTACAAAGACAAATGTGATCAATCTTTTTGTGGATTTTGGTGCTCCCTCCACTGGGCGGCTCAGTAATGACTGTTGTGTAGATTTAATAAGGTGGACACTGGTAAGAGAGTAAATAAAATTTTAGGTGGGAATCAAAAATCTATTGATTTTTGGGCATGCCCACTATATGTGAAAAGCTGTACCCTCAACTCTGAAACAGTGGGGGGAGGCTCCCAGGGCCCACAAGGCCACTCTAGCTGGGACCTATACCACTGCAGGAACACTTTGTAATTAGCTTCTATTAATAAAATATTCTGTGCCATTCTTCTAATTCAAGTATTTCCCCAATTTATTGCTCCCATTTGTCCATGTAGAGTAGCATAACGTCCATAGAGGTGAGTATATCATATGGTGAGTGTTTGTCAATGGTCTTGCATAGATACTCTACTGATGTGGGAGAAAGAGATCAGATATCCTCTTAAGGAAGTTATGAAATGGCTATGTGGATAAAATTCAGTATGTGGTAGATCAGGTTTTTTGGTAAAGTTGCATTGACAATACTCCACAGTGATCACAGAAATCTGCTATACACAAGAAACCCTTATTAGTCTACCATAGAAACATTTGGGGAGCAAGACCTCCCTACAAGACTGGTCTAGGGAGGAATAATGATTCCAGCTGCATCCTAATGGGGAATTGTGTCTTAGTATGAAATCTGATCAGTTGGGCTAATTGTACAGCTTGGAAATACTTAGCCAAATCTGGAGCCCCAGGTCCTCCTCTCAGTTTGAGGACCACTGGCAGGGTTCTAAATAGATGCAATATCCACAGCAGTCTGCCAAACCATCATGGTGGATTTGTTCCCCCCCTGCTAAGATCTTCTGCAATTTTTTTATAAAGTGGGGGATAGTTTTGTGGTACAGGGTTTGAAGAGATGGTGTTAGGTTTATTCCTAGATATGTAAGGGCATCAGCTTGCCATTTAAACTGGAAGGAGTTTTGAAGGACCTGGATAGTGTGATCTTTACATTTTTTTTTCAAAGAATGCAGTTAGGTGCTGCAAAATAGGCTGCTCTGGAATAAAATGTCAGCAACAACTCCCTAGTGCACTCTAATCGCATGCTAAAAGTTGACATTATAAAAAAAAAAATAGAAACAAAAAGTGACATTGAAGAGCTAGCTATCAGTCAATTGTCGTGGACAAATGCTGAGCCCCATAGTCTTTTTCTCCCTAAACCTCCTTGAGTTCCAGATATTTTTTTTTTTTCATTTTGGCAATGTCACAGTTTTGAACATCATACCTTTAACCACTTCCAGTCCGAACACTTTTACCCCCTTCCAGTCCAGGCCAATTTTCAGCTTTCACTGCTATCACACTTTGAATGACAATTGCGCGGTCATGCAACACTGTACCCATATGAATTTTTTAGCATTTTTTAGAGACAGATAAAGCTTTATTTTGGTGGTATTTATTCACCACTGGGATTTTTATTTTTTTGCTATGTAAATGAAAAGTCAAAAAATTTTGAAAAAAGTGTTTTTCTTATAAAATTTTGCAAATAAATAATATTTCATCATTAATCTTGGACAAAATTTATTCCATTATCTTTTTAGTAAAAAATACTAACCCAAATTAGTTTATAACCAAAATTATAATTTTTAAAACATTTATTTTTTATTTTTTTTATATTATTATTTATTTATTTATTTTTTAACATACTGTCACCCTAGCAGTACAGTTTCACCATGGTGACACTGTACTACTTGTGGGGGGTGATAAAGATTTTTTTTTTTTACACTGATTGCTTTTACACCCATAAAGGCTGTAAAAGCAATCATTCCTCCTTCTCTCTAGCTGCATTCTTGCAGCCATTGAGAACTACTGAGTGAGCCGTGATTGGTCACAGCTTATCACATGGTACAAGGCTGTTGTGAATAGCCTTGTACCATGTGACCTCTGTGATCATTCACAGATTTCACACGTAGTAAGCAATGATGTCACAAGTGACATCTTGCTTACTACTCTGCATGTGATCACTGATTAGCCAATCAGTGATCACATGATCGGGACCTCGCCCAGAGGTCCTGTACGACGATTTTCTACTGTGTCCGGAGGACACAGCGGGCACTGGATCGAGGTGCTGCGCTCTCCCAGGGAGCGCGCACAAGTTGTGTGCGGGGAGGCCGTTTATAAACGGCCACCCGACCCTGCACTGCCACCGCCCGGTTGTTTTTATATACAATGGCCGGATGGGAGGTGGTTAAGACCCTTTGCAGCTACCTTAAGGTGTTGCATGTTGTTTTGTTTGGGACAGATAGGGCTTTAGTTTTTTATCAAAATTGGGTACATATTGTGACAGACCCAATTAGAACAGGGACTTTTGGAGGGGACTAAGGGCTAGCCTTCTACCCACTGATTATGGCCCATGAAGAGAGCAGATCATTCTGTAATGATGGAAAACAACATGAACGTGGAGAGCGAGGCTTGGATTAAAACCAATACAGCTTCCCTTCTGGAGTGGATGGGAAAATGTAATATTTATCTTATACGGGTTAATGATCAGAGGAAATATGATTGCCTTCCTGCAGACTGAGTTAGAGAAGCTCCTCCACTTGGGACAGAAAAATGTATCAACAGTCTCCCTCAAGAAATCTATGAAGATAGATGAATTCTACTTTTTCAGACGGTTGGAATATTGTATGAGATTTGTTTTATGATGTACAGATTATACAACTGAAAACAAACACCTGAAAGACAGCATGTGTAATGGACTTTGCGTATTCAGGGTTGGAGGTGCCGGGCTGTCTGGTGTGGGCTCCCTGGCTTGTCTGGGTGCTTGCCTGTTGATTAGTTTGCTGTTAATTACCCAGCAGTGAGCCTGCAGTCTAAAAGATCGTCAAGACCCACCACGGCACGCTCCCCACAACCATGAGCCTGCAGTCCCCATTTCCTTCTCCTCCTGAACCCACAGATGAACCCGGCCTGCGAGACCCGACTCAGCCTTCCACAACGTGGCCTGACCCAGACCTGAGGCCCTCCTACCTACTCCTGTGAGTAGCGAGACCTGCCACAGCCTACCAAGACGCGGCCCGACCCTGACCCGAGGCCCTTCTATCCACCCCCGAAGTAGACTTGGCGAGCGACCCTGCCCCCGGAGAATGACCCTGTCTCGGTGAGGCCTACCATCCCGGACCTCCTGTGCCCATTGGATGATCAACCCGGCCCTGACCTGAAGCCATGGGACGATTACCCCAACCCTGACCTGCAGCCCACCTGACGACCCCCCTCATAACCTTCCAATCTGGGACTCACGCAAACTGGAACCTGCAATCTACAACCTACTGAACTGATCTCTATCCACCCAGATCCTAATCACTTGAACTCCTGCTACAAGAAGCTGTTTCAACGTGATACTCCACTGCACGACGGACTATCCACAACCATGAGAAACCTTTCAGCTCCCTCACCTGCCTGCCACTCCGTTTACCCTCCTAAAATGCCACCTGTACTCCTCCTCCTCATACTCCTCTCCTCCATTCCCAAAATCTCCTTTCTCTACCCCCCTACTCCTCCAAAACAACTATACATCGCACCCTCACTACTTCCATCTCCCCACTACGGCTCTCACCTCCTCCTCCTAATACTTCACTCTCCCACTGACCCACACGCCACCACTAGCAGACTCACACGCTCTTGCACATCCCGCTCCCATGCCATCTTTCTCACCCTTCTTCTTCTCCTAACCTCCGGGGACATCTCCGGGGAACCTGGCCCCTCACCACCTCACTCACCCACTAGGCACCCTCCTACGTCCACAAACTTCCACAACCCCCTCAACCTAATACCTGTCCCCCTGCTCCCCACAACCACCCCCCTCCATTCTCGTGTGAACTCCTGAACGCCCGATCGGTTTGCAACAAGCTCACCGCCATCCATGACCTCTTTATCTCCCGCTCCCTCAACCTCCTTGTGGTCATCGAAACCTAGAACCAGGCCACTGACTCTACCTCCCCTGTGGCACTCTCCTA